GCAAAGGCCGACCTGCAAATAAGAGATATTTGTCGGCTATTGAAAATCGTTCTAATAGAAATGCAAATTCAAGAAATCAAGATCAGGACGAAGTTTCGGAAGGATCAAGAAAGAAAAACAAGCGGCAATGTGCTCTATGTAAGTCATGGTATCATGACTCGCGAAATTGCCCTTCAAAAAATAAAGAACAAGATAAAGAAAATATTTAGATAGTTTTATTTGTTATTTAATCAGCATATGCGTTATATTTTAATTTAATAAAATAAAGTTGTTTACGGCAAATCGAAATCACATGAATAAATCACGTGAATATATAGGGAGGATAATCAGGATATGTATATCCTCCCGTATTAAGTAAAAATTTTCTAAATTTTAATATCAAATTAATATAACTAATATTAGTTTTACACCATGTAATATAAAAAGTATAATTTTTATACGCAATCATAATAAATTCAATCAGCATGATGTTGTTACGCGAATTTTTGCGCATGTGATTTCCGATATTGTATGATGATCCGATGAAATTTCGGTACATTTGTGTACACGTCGATTTCCGATGTTACGAGACAATTTACGCCGATGTATAGTTGCTGATTTGTGTATATCAGTTAACTATATTAAAGATATTGATTTTATATGATAAATTTACTTATATATCGTTTTTATATTTATTTTATTTATTTATTTATTATTACTTTACAAAAATCTCGAATTTTGGTATTAGCATTATAATATGCTAAATCTATTAACAATTAGCCATATTGTGGGCTATTAAAAGCATATTAAACAAATTTTTTACATAAAATTAAAAATATAGGCCTACACTAGGCCATATTAAAGGCTTATAATACACTAACAATAGAGTTTCAATATTTCCGACAGTCTTGCATATTCACTAAAAAATTCATATAGCTATTATATTACTATTACAGTGCTATTACAGAGGAAAATAATAAAAATAATTTAATGAATTTTATATTTTTGGTTTTGTGCTAATATTTATTTTTATCAACAATATTTATTATACGATTTTTTTCTATTTAGTTAGTAATTTTATAAATAAGTCTAAGTCTAATTGATCCCCAATATGAAATACTGTATATAAAAAATTAAGCTATTTTTTTAACTTCTTTTAGTTAAACTTTTTATTATTATCTCTTTAAACTTATTATTAAACTTTGTAATTATTTATAATTTATTCATTGTATTTATTTATATGGCACAATATTTTAAGCTTTTTTTATATTTTTCAATTTGCAAGAGTAACGTAAGCAAATCACATGACTTTATATTACATTATAAGAACGATAATCATCAAAGTCGCACAATCAAAGAACCTTATTTTTTTCCATCTCCTTTCCTTCGTCCTTTCCCTTTCCCTCTTTTCTTTAACTTTCCATTAAAAAAATTATTAGTCTGGAGTGCAACGAAGGACTATTTATTTAAATAAACATTTTTAGTTTTGATTTTTTTTTTTTAGATGACATTCCTGTAAATTTTATCTTGATAAATGATTTTTAACATTCTTTGTTTCTTCTTTATTAGGCAGCTCTTTAGATACAGAATCTTGTTAAGAAAACCTGGAAATATATGATTTATTTATTCTAACGAATTGTTGTAAGGTTTTTAAACGCATAGAATTCTGGTAAAATCTTGCCTTTTTTAAAAATTTTTTTTTAATGAACTGTTTATAATGGTTCTTTTTTTTAGTTGGGTCTTTCAGTTCATTTTAGACATGTGGAATTTCAATGGCTAACAATATAGTGTAATATTATAAGTTTTGTTTTTTTAATTTTTTATTTTGACGAACCTTACTAACAGTTCTTTTTTTTTTATTTTGTAGGCAGTCAGTTCTTCACATCTCAAGAAATAGATATCAAGGTTTTCATTTTAAAAAAAAATCCATCATTTTTTAATGAAATGATCATTAATATTTTTTATACGCAGTCAGTTCTTCTAGATCTTGAGAAATGGATATTAGGATTTTTTAAAAAAAAAAATTTGACGAAATAATCATTAACACTTCATTATTTTTATTTATTTTTTTTTTTTAGGTAACTGGTTCCTCAATACTAAGGATAGAGGAAATTTAATGAATTGTTCCATTAATAAATAAAACATTTTTAATGTTTCATTTTCTTCTTTTATAGGTTTCGGACTCTTGTATATAAATGAGTAAACCACGTGGAATGAAAATGGTAAGTCTTGCAACACCTACGAAACTTGGGTTTTCCTTATTTTTTAATAACTAATGTTTTCTTATTTTTATAGGTTCTGGCTTTGAATTTGGACGTTAATTAGGAATCCTTGGTTAGTTTCGAAGTTGGACTTAAAGCTCTTCGTGATGTCAAAATGGTGAGTTTCAAAGTTACATACTTCAAATTTTTTTTTATTTAATTTTCTTTTTTAAAGAAACAATTATTAACATTCCCTGCTTCTTTTGTAGATTTTGGACTTGGATGGTAAGTTTTGAAGTTAACTAACTTTGGAAACTTTTCTTTTCATTTTTTTTTTATTAAAAACACTAACGTATTTTGTAGGTAATATTTAAACAAAAATTTTTTAATTGAATGAAGTCATATCATTTGTTATGTATTATTGTTTCAAAATAGATTCTTATTTTTGGCGATGTAATTTGGGTGAAAATTAACAATATGACACTTTATAGCAATTAGATATAATATTTTTAGCGAATATTAAATAAATATTTAATAATATTATTTTTATTATAATTTTATTTTAAATGTGATATTGCATAGTGTTGTTATTAAACTTATATTGTATTAAAATTATTTTACTATTATACTAAAATGCTTAAAGTCTTATTATTTAGTCCTAAAATATTCGTTTACAATTTTCTTACTAGTACTATTAACGAGCTTGATGATAGGTCTAATTTATTCCTATTACCAGCCTATTAAAATAATTTTATTAGCCTTATGTCGAATTTGGGTTTTTTTGTAAAGGTATTTATAGTTGTTTACCTTGACGATTCTTAACGAACAATTCCGGAAATACCTTGGATAGGTCGTATTGAGTAAGAACTTCGTTGGTATCCGTGTAGTTATACGATATAAGTCATCCGCCGTTCGTCTCTTAATTACCGTCATTATTCGGTAACAATGTGCAAAATATCGGTACAGAATGTACATGATGGTCCTATAGGGCCGTATAATAATGATCTAAATAAATAAATATTTATTCTAAAGTTTTGATATTAACAGATAATTGTATGTAAATCTATAAATAAATTTTCTTAGGCTAATAAAGTTATTCAAATAAAAAATGTCAAAATTGATTTTTATAATTTTATTAATTTAAAAATTAGCGCAATTAAGATCAATAACTAGCAGTACTTGTGGGATTTACTAAAATTTATACAATTATTACTTTCATTTGGTTAAGAATAAATTAAATTTTCACCACAGAAACCGTTTAGTGAATATTGACATAAATGTATATAGCATGTTTTTGCACGAAAGTTATCTTTTGAAAGCAAATATTTACTATTGGATATTCCTCGAGATTAAACGTAAAATTAATAGGTAAAATTTGAATATAATATCAAATTCATATAATATTTATTGAAGAAATTTATCGAAAAAAAAAATCAAAAAAAAACATAGGAAATTTTATATATGTAAATTCAAATCATTTTAAGCTCGTTTAATAAGTTCAATGCACCACTAAAAAAAGGGAAGATTAGTTAGTTATTTTTATTAAAAAAAAAAATTTTAAAATAAAATTTATTTTCTTACCTCATCAATTCCTCCTAATCTTTCATTATGACAAATAACCTCTTGAAAAATGTCATTTCCAATAGTAAATTGAACATCATGATTACGTAAAAATTCAACTTGACCATCTTGAATAGGACCATTAATATCAAATGATTTCTTAATACTAAGATTAACAATATCATTTGGTTTTAAATATCCTTCATAATTTTCTAAGTTACTGTGTTTGAAATTCCAAGTATAATCATCTTCACCACAACTTACTATAAAAAAATAAGTGTTAAAATTTTCTTTTATCTTCATTATTGTTTTAAATATATAATTATTTGATTACCTTCTGTATGATTGCTTGACGGAGATTTGTGGTATTCATATTGATTTTTATATTGTTTTTGAATTGGACTATTTGCAACAGATCTATATTGATATTGATATTGAAATGGACTTTGATTTTGAAATGTATTTTGATATTGATTTTGAATTTCAATTTGATACTGGCGATAACGAATTCCAAGATAATGATTGGAACTTAAATGTTGTAGACGTAAATCAGTCTTTATATAGCCATATTCATCATTACTACGGCTTCTTATTTTCCATAAAGCATTTGGATCAAACTTTGAATTGCCCGTAAAAACCTATAAAAAATTGAAATAATATTAATACAAAATTCAATATTAAAGAAAAAAGTCATTAAAGTTTAAATATAAAATAAAAAATATATACTAATTGTTTCTTGCTTCCAGTTGTATAACAAAAATCTTTAATTGAAGTTAAATATTTTCCTGTAGCAACATGTTTTAACGCAACAATAGATCCTTGTCTAATTATATTTAATTCAATTTCCTCAAATGCTTTAATCAATTCATCCATTGAATTGATATTTTTCATTCTTTTATAAAATTCAGTTAAAAAATAGCGATTATCATTAAGAGATGCATAAAAATATTCCTTTTGTTCTTCTATATCATCAGTTTCAGAATTATAACAAAGGTTACGAAAATCCGTAAAAAATTTCAAAATGTCACCACTATAATTTAATGAATTTAATGATTGTAATTTTCTTTTATTTGAAGCTTTAAATACTGTAAAAGAAATATCTTTTTTAAGTGCACCACGAAGTTTTTCAAGGTCGTTAATTTCGGTTGGAAGTTTAATAGTAGAATTAATTAATGATTTTGCAGTATGTAAAAATCCTCCATAATTATCTTCCCACATATTATAATATTTTTTTATATCATTTATCCATTCGTCTGGATGAATGCTCCCATCATATTTTGGAAAAGAATTCATGATAAATGAAAATTTATTTCTTCAGGAAAGAAATTAGATCACGTTTTAAAGAATTTTTTGACCATTTATATAAATTGATCATCATCATACCGGTTTTAACAAGCTTTACATCATCTTTTTGGTAATTACTAGCGTGATCAAATGATTTGTCGATCAATTAAAAATTATAAAAATTATAGAAATAATATTGAGGTATTTTCAGGTCGATTCAGGTGACCTGTCAGGTTGACCCAAAATATTCGGGTCAGGTCATCAAGTTAAAAAAATTTAAAAGTGTTGCTAAACATTTTATTTAATAACACAATAAAAAAAAGTTTTCACAACGTATTTTATTTATCAATTCGATTAAAAAAATGTTGAGAAATTAATAATTCAATAAAAAAATGGTTTCGCTATATTTTTTGATTGATTTAATAAAAACGTTGTGAAACTTAATATAATTTAGTAAAACAAATGATTTCGCAACATTTTTTGATTGTTTTAATAAAAAATGTTTACCCTTCCTAGCTTAGTCAACTTTTAACTATTGAATATGGGTTAAATTTACTTAATTTTTGATAATTTGTATTATGATTTTGTCGTAACGCAAAAATCCGTTGTTCTTCACATTTTCTTATACAGATTCGTGAATTTTTACGAAAATAGATATATGGTAAATGATAAAATGAAATACATTTCAAATTTAGTAGAAATAATTTTGATATAATAATTATTTGTTTTCATCTTCGTTTTAGAAATTGAAGATTCTATTTTGAGAAGTATATGAGAAGTATATCTCATTATGCTAGAAAATATGCATCACCATCACTGTAAACATCGTGCGCAGTAAAGTGATGTCACCGAAATATAAGCAATATAGGCCAGGCGCAGTCGTAAGAATAGTTCGCATTACAACTAGTGAGTGACAATCATCAATCGGATATTTCTTACCGAAATCGGGGGTGGGTAATTCGCAATGCGAATATCTTAATAGTATAGTTGCAGCACGATACGTATGACGATATAAATCTGTCTGTATCACGTATAATATTGCGTAATACAAAGTTGGATACTGTGTTTGTCTATGCATTCAAAACACACTTTTTATAATGACTGAGCCACGTTTTAACATTAACTAAGCCATTGTTCATTTTTTATAATAAATTTATATTTTCGAATTCATTAAAATTGAAACGTAATCGAAGATTATTTTTAAGGTAAAAGAAAAACAAAATAAGACTTTTTTAAGAATTTATAAAAAAGAAAATTTTTTTTTTTTTAGTACAGAAATTATATTATTTAATAATGTTAAATTGATACTTGCAGAAAGTTAATAAATAATCGAATAAAAGTGGTTGGTTTGAACTTAATGTTTATACGCTAAAAACATTATATTACTCCTCGAAATAACTACAAACTCGTTGCTTTTTCACCACCGGCATTTTCTCGACGTCCACCCTATCCTTCAGCAAACCAACTATGACCTCCATTACCCGCTTCACGCTTTTATACAACTCCTTTTCTTCCTCCGAACCCTCCTTCAAAGCAGACTCGACAAAACGAATACTGAGTGGATTTTTACTCGTGCAAGAAATTCCGTCTGGGGTATAAAGAAGAAAATACCACTCCGTAGCTGTAGTTACAATCCCGAAGATATAGTCGTAAAAAGCATCATCCGCTTTTTGTTTTCTTTTATTTGTTCGGTAGGCACTTTCGCATTGCATAATATTCTGTAGACGAATTCGTTAGCGAAATAAGACTTAACCCGAAACATACATACACTGTTCATACCAACCTGAGCGAACCCGATATCAATTTGAAATTGTTTGCCTTCCGTGATACAAAATAACTCCTCGAGCGCTCCGATTGCATAATCAACACGACCGGTACTTTCGCCACCAATAATTTCGAATTGCGGGTTTATTCTTATATATTTTCCAGTGAGATTTTTGGTAATATGTACACATGCGTGGAGGATTGCTGAAATATATTCACAACGAATTGCTTCGTTGCTTTGATTGACTGTCCCCATATTTGATAACTTGATACGTATATCTTTGAGGCAATGTAAAAAGGATTCGTCCTTTTCATCGATTTTGTGAATCCCTTTATTATATTAATGACGCAGTACTGTAAGTTGATTATACATGGAGTCGTTAACAAAATATAAAATATTACTTGGTGAAAATTGCGGTATATCTTCTATTCGACCAGCTCCATACTTCTCTAACACCTCTTTCAAGTCTTTCTTAGTTCTGTACGAGGAGAATGCGCGTGACTTTTTTTCCTTGCATTCCTTGGCAAAATCCGCAAGTATCATAGCAGTTCCGCCAGGCATACCACAATCTCGAAATTTCTTGGTGGTGAACTTAAGGAAGGCATGACCATTAATTTTTTCCTTACGAATGATTTCTGCGTCGTCATAGTCAAGCCCTTTCTGTTTTTCCAGAAAAGAGATAAGATCATTAACGCCGTAAGTTTCAATTTCCTCCGCCAGCGTTCCCGTTTCCGTCTTATGGGTCTTATGTTGTTTTTGGCTTTTTGTATTTTTCACTTTCATGTTAACTAGTCTTTTATATTTGAAATCTTTTATATTTGAAATCTATTTGAATCTAGTCTTATTCTTAATCCAAGGTGCCTATATATATATATATTGGAACGACCGCCATGATCCACCATGACCACTATTAGATGTAAAATGTGTTAATAAATATATTATTGCAATCACTGTGTTATAATATTACACCTAGGGATGACACGCGATTTAAAGCAAAATGTTTTAAAACAATTTAAATCAGTTTTTTATTGTTTAAGACGTTTTTTTTTTTTGTTCTAAAACATTGTAATTATTTTTTAATGTCTCGTGGAAAGACCATCATCGGAAGACGCGAAAAACACCTCGTCAGAGTGTGTAATTATTGTGGAAATGACATTAATTATTGATTTAATTGATCGATTAGAAGATTTAAAATTAATATATTATATAATTTTTTTTTTTTAAGAGTTAGCGCACATTTTATTTAACGAATCACTAGTATCACTAAGCTATAAGGTCGGTCCGGCTATACTCTAAATATATATTATATAATAAAGTGCTTAAATATTTATTGCAAATATATATTACGTCGTAAAGGCTAGTAAAGTGCTTAATGTTTTATTTAAAACACGTTTAAAAACATGTTTTAAAACGCCAAAATTGTTTTAAAACATGTTTTTTGCCATCCCTAATTACACCTTATGAATAACTACTACTTAAAATCATCTGATTCTTTGTTAAATAGAAAAAAAATATTATATTACCTAATGAAAAGTTTTATTATAATTTGTGCACGCAATTTATTGTTGTTATTTTCAATAAAAAAAATATATTATTTTATTATGTCTAATAATGTGACTAATAATATATAATAATTATTCTGTTAATTTTATGAATCAATTGTTTCAGTCATTTTAGTTAAATGTAAAATTTTATTATAACACAAATTTATTTGTCATTATTTAAGAATATTAACATTTATTTAAAAATTAACATTTATACAATAAATACTATAAACATTTAGTAAAAACTGTTATTTCATGATAAATTATAATTTATCAAAATATTGGTAGTATAATTTTCTCATAATGTCAAAAATTACTTATGTTTTCGAATAAAGTATAAAGATGACTTATTTTGATTTAATATTTTTGTTGTATTAGTTAATATATCAAAACAAACTATTAATCGTTAATAATATCAGCTGGTAAATAACATATGACTGAATTTTAATACAGTTAAAATTAGAATAATAATTGATCAGACTGACACAAAATCAAATTATTGCTGGCTAATGATAATGTAATTGTCGCGTAATATGTAGTCAATGTGATTTATTCATTATAAATAAATAATCAAATTTACATATCTAATTTTAAGTTATAATGATATAACTTTAGCAAGTATATATTATGATTATTAGTATAACTAAATATTAGTTAAGTATAGCAATTATAACAATTTAACAACTGCAAAATAAATAATAAATAAATAAATAAATAATATATGAATAAATAAATACTGTCAAGGAATAATAGAATACGGAGTATATCCGGATGCCGGAGTATTTTGTGCGACATATTGAATATTACTATGTTACTATACCTGATCTGTCTAATCCGTTTGACTCATTGATCTATCGGGTCAAACGGGTCAGGTCAGGTTGAAGCCTGGTCCGACCCGACCCGACCTGACCCGACTTTCTTTTACAGCTGTTTTCATAAGACCTGGGACAAAATAAATTTTTGAACCCGACCGCCGACCCACCGATCCGGTTCAGTTGTTATTTATTTTACAAACCATCAAATCAGGATCACGTGCCCAGCTAAAAATACCGGATCAGCGGATTGGCGGATCGGGTTTAAAAATTTAGTTTGTCCACAGGTCTTATGAAAACAGCTGTAAGTAGAGGTTGGAACCGACCAAAAAAAACCTTAACCGATTAATAATCGATTAACCAGCTACCATAATCGATTAATTAATCGGTTAATCAACCGATTAATATATAAATTTTAAGTTTATAGTAAGTTTATTTAATTTATTTTATTTATATTTTAACAATTTTAACCTGCCATTAATATTTTATAATATAAATAATGTTCCAAAATATATTTATTTATACAAATACTTAATCACAAAAAAATATTTATAAATATTTAATAAAAAAATATAAATTTACTTGAAAATTACTATACATCACCAGGCGATCATCGCTTTTACCAGCATTAGGATGGAACTTGGGGTAGAATTAAGAATATGAATGTAACTCCGCCCAAAATGCCATCCTAATGCTGGTAAAGGCGATGATGATTTTTTTGTTTGCTGACTACTAGTTGTTGATTCCAAAAATGACGACTTTTTAGAAATTATAATAGCTAGAAGAGCAAACTTTGGCGACCCAGATAAAGATTCTTCAATACTTTCAACATTCCTATAGTAACTATATTCAGACAAATCATCATTCAGTTCGTTATTATCCATGTTAAATAGCCACTTTTAATAAAGTTTTATTTAACTAAATTTGTTAAAACTTTATCAAAATATAATAATTATCTGTTTCTGCATTTTTAACCGATTTAATTAATCGATTAATTAATCGATTAAATTATTCGGTTAAATTATTCGATTAACCGATTTTTGAGGTACCTTAATCGGTTAACCGACCTAATCGATTCCAACCTCTACTTTTAAGTCAGGTTGAGTAACTGACCCGATCTGACTTGAACTGTTTGGAACACTAAGTCTGAAATCTGATTTGAAATTCTGACTTAAATGCAGTTTATTTTGATTATATTTGGAACAATAAGGTATAAGAAAAAACTATAATAACTTTATCCAGCCCTTTTAACAATACAAATTATTATAAAATAAGTTCTAATATTATAATATTATTCATTCTTATATTGCTACTATAACTGGACATGGGTTATTGGTTTATTATCGATAATAGATTCTTGATATAAAAAAGTTCATTAAAATAATGGTTAACTACTTAATTCTAAATAAAAATTACAATTTTAATCAGAATTTATGCAAAGATTGTTTAAATTAAAATATGATTCTCTTAGGTAAAAAAATTTTTAGGATAGTTCTGAGAAAAGAGTTAAAGTTTGGTTTTATAAGACATTTTTTTTAATTTTAAAAATTAGATAGTACAATTAAAGATTTAAGATCTCTGGTGATATTTGCTAAAATTTTTTATATAATTATTACTTTCATTTAATTAAGAATAAATTAAAATTTCCATTATAAGAACCTTTATTGAATATATATATTCTCTTGACATAATTGCATATAACATATTTTTGTACAAAATTTGTCTTTTAGACACATGCATTTAATATTAATATCCACCCTGTAAAAAAATCGATCCGTTTTTTATATTCCGTCTTTTTTCTGTAAAAGGCTCATATTTCCGGAATTAATAACCTTATATCCTGGAATTTATAGAATTCTTTACATTTTCCGTGAATGGATCCGTGAAAGGCTCATTTTTACGGAGTTTTTACAGAAATAACGGATAAAATTTTTTATAGGGTCAACTTGAATGCTTGACATCCAAGATATAAAATTAATAATATAATATATTATGTAGAAAAAATTTATTGAGAAAACAAAGAAAGATGAATTTTATAAATGCAAATTCAATCCCATTTAAGCCTGTTTAATAAGTTCAATGCACCACTAAAAAAAAGAAATGTCAATTATTTTTACGAGAAAATTTTTAAAAAAATTTTTAAAAAAATCAATTTTAAAATCTACTTACCTCATCATTTTCTGCTAATCTTTCATTATGGCAAACAACTTCTTGAAAGGTATCATTTCCAATAGTAAATTGAACATCATGACTACGTAAAAATTCAACTTGACCATCTTGAGTATGACCATTAATATCAAATGATTTCTTAATACTAAGATTAATAATATCATTTGATTTTAAATATCCTTCATAATTTTCTAATCTACTATAATCAATCTTCCATTCTCTCTCATTGCCATCACAATTTACTATAAAAAAACATGGGTTAAAAATTTTTTTATTAATTTCATTAAATTATAATACATTTGATTACCTTCCGTGTGATTGCTTGATGGAGATTTGTGGTATTTATATTGAGTTCTAGATAGATGCCGACTATAACGAACTTGTTGCGAATAATTGCAAATTCCAAGTGAATTACCAGAAATTTTATGTTGGAAACTTATATCAGATTTTGTGTATATATAATCGTTATACTTTCCATTATTAACAAATATATACCAACAAGCATTTGGATCAAATCTTGAATTCCCTGTATAAACCTATAAATAATTGGATATAGTATTAATAATACAAAATTCAACATCAAAGAAAAAAAGTTCAAATATAAAATAAATGATATACTATTGGTCCCTCGCTTCCAGTTGTATAGTGTAAATTATCAATTGAAGTTAAATATTTTCCTGTAGCAACGTGTTTTAATGCAACAATAGATCCATCTATAATTATATTTGATTCATCCATAACAATTTCATCAAATGCTTTAATTAATTCATCCATTGATTTGATATTGTTCATTCCTTTATAAAATTCAGTAAAAAAATAGGGATGATCATTAAGAGCTTTAAGAAAATATTCTTTTTGTTCTTCTATATCATTAGTTTCGGTATTATAACAAAGGTTATGAAAACATGTAAAAAATTTCAAATTATCACCACCATCTCTTTCAGGAATATATTTTAATGATTGAAATTTTCTTTTGTTTACATTTTTAAATAATGTAAAAGTAATATCTTTTTTAAGTATATCACGAAGTTTTTCAAGGTCATTAATTTCAGTTGGAAGTTTAATAATAGGATTAATTAATGATTTAGCAGTATTTAAAAATCCTCCATAATTATCTTCCCAAATATTATAATATTTTTTTATATCATTTATCCATTCATCTGGATGTACATTTCATCATATTTTGAAAAATAATTCATGGTAAATGAAAATTTATTTGTTCAGGAAAGAAACTTTAAATTTGGGATCACGTTTAGAATTTTATTTTTTTTTATTTGCGTAAAATAAACATAATCATGTCAGTTTTCGTCATTTTTGAACCAGTGTGATCAGAGATGACTTGTCAATCAAATAATCGTCAAAAAATGCAATCAAACAAATCAAATAAATAAATTAATAATATATTAAAATTACAAAAAACCTACATTTGAAGTATATATTAAAAATGTTTATCTGTTATATCCGTTTATATGTTTAAATTTCTTATACGAGTGTAAAAAATTTAAAGGACCAGAATTTCAAGGCGTGGAAACAATTATTATGTTTCACTAACCTATATCAATTGCAAATAATTTTTTGTTTACTGTCAGTGCTAATTTCGGCCATAATATTAAGCTTTAATGAACCATTTTTTTATATACCGTACCTTTTGTACTATATAACAGTAAATTTCGAAGATTAAATATAAAGACTTAACGAAAATAAATATTTTTTTTTAATTTTTTTCTTAAAAGTCTGGTACAGATAAATACTATTACAAAATGGACTTCTAAAGATAAATTGAGTTAAAACATTGAATATCTAATATTTTGTTATCTAAGTTGCATTTGCTTTATATCGTGATAACTACAGTACATTATATTAAATGTCATAAGATGAATGCATGTACTAATTAGACAAAAATTCATCCTGTTTGTAACTTTAATTCTGAAACATTACAGCTTTTGGACTCTATGAAATTTTAAGATTTATAACATAATTATCAGATTTATATGAGCTTAAACAAAATTTGTTATCAATCTTATTTAGAACTGTTTATACTATTAAATAAAAGTTCAACTTAATCAGGCAACATCCACTTTAAATCATAATCTATAATTTATAGTTAAAAATATTTTTTCAATTTATAATCGGTAAAAAAATGATATAATATTTTATTACTCCTAATAATAATGTTAACTCATTATTCTGTATAATAATTCTATATTAGATAGATATAAATTTATGGATTTATTATTAATATCTAAAATTTAATAAAAAAATCTAAAGCTTATGATCATCACCACTGATTATGGTTACCCTTATTTTTGCTAAAAAACCTTTAATTTATAAAAAATTTCGAATGGTTGACTGATATTAAGTAATCAAAATACAAACAAAACTACTATGTGTAATTTAAAATATAAAGTTTGATTTTATAAATGTATTTTATTACTTCAAAAAAAGTAGGATTATTTATATGGTGACAACTGCTACTAGTAACATTAACTTGAAATCTTCTACTTGATTAAGAACAAATTAACATATTTTTCTATAACAAGGTCCTTCAAATCTTTTAGCATAATAAGGAAATAGAATATATATATTTTTTGTATGGAAGTTACTTTTTGAGTACATATATTTATCATAATTAATGCCCAACATGACATTCTTCAAAGGTTGAGTGACAAAAAACGATACCTAGTAGTATAAGACATAAAATTAATAGGTTGAATTAAAGATATATATTGAAAAAAAGAAAAGAAAGAAATTTTAAAGTCATTTATTTAAGCCTGTCTAATAAGTTCAATGCACCACTAAAAAAAAAAGAATGTTCAATTATTTTTACAAAAAAATATTTTTTTAAAAAAATAAAACTATTTACTTACCTCATCAATTCCTCCTAATCTTTCATTATGACAAACAACTTCTTGAAAAGTATCATTTCCAATAGTAAATTGAACATCATGACTACGTAAAAATTCAACTTGACCATCTTGAATACGACCATTAATATTGTGTGATTTCTTAATACTAAGATTAACAATATCATTTGATTTTAAATATCCTTCATAATTTTCTAATTTACTGTGTTTGAAATTCCATATATAATCATCTCCACCACAACTTACTAAAAAAATAAGTGTTAAAACTTTTCTTTTATCTTCATTATTGTTTTAAATATATAATTTATTTATTTACCTTCTGTATGATTGCTTGATGGAGATTTGTGGTATTCATATCGATAATATGGATATTGTGGATATCTACAATGTGAATTATAATAATAAGAAATTCCAAGTGAATTGTCAGAAATTTCATGCTGTAACATTACATCAGTTTTGGTACAAGAGTAATTGTTATCAGGAGATTGATTTTTAATCATTTTCCATAAAACATTCGGATTAAATTCTGAGTCGCTTGCATAAATCTACAAAAAATCGAATATGTATACTATTAATAAAAAATTTAAAGAAATATTAAAAGCTAAAATATTAAATAAATGATATATACTAATTGTTTCTTACTTCCGGTTGTATAACATAAATTTCCAATGGAAGTTAAATATTTTCCTGTAGCAACGTGTTTTAATGCAACAGTAGATCCATATCTAATTATATTTGATTCATTCATAACAATTTCTTCAAATTCTTTAATTAATTCATCCATTGAATTAATATTTTCCATTCTTTTACAAAATTCGGTTAAAAAATAGGAATAATCATTAAGAGACTTAAAAAAATATTTCTTTTGTTCTTCAATATCATTAGTTTCAGAATTATAACAAAGATTACGAAATTCTGTAAAAAATTTCAAAGTATCACCACCATCTCTTTCATATTTATATTTTAATGATTGTAATTTTCTTTTATTTGAATTTTTAAACACTGTAAAAGAAATATCTTTTTTAAGTACATCACGAAGTTTTTCGAGGTCATTAATTTCGGTTGGAAGTTTAATGGTAGGATTAATTAATGATTTGGCAGTATTTAAAAATCCTCCATAATTATTTTCCCACATATTATAATATTTTTTTATATCATTTATCCATTCATCTGGATGAATGTTTCCATCATATTTTAGAAAAGAATTCATGGTAAATAAAATTTATTTTAGGAAAAAGGAATTATAATTTAGGATTAGCGTTTAAATAATCATTTATGTGAAATGATAACCATCATACCAGTTTTTAACAGGTTTTTGTATAACTCTCGCCATTTTTTAACTAGCATGATCAGATGACTTGTCAATCAATTAATCAAAAAACGTAGTAATTATTAATCAAATAAATAATTTAAATTTACAAAAAAACCTACATTTGAAGCATTCAAGAAAATAACATAAAATGTCTTTTAGATACTTTGTTGAGATCATATCTGTTATATAATATATAAAATGTCTGTATTCGTTTATATGTTTAAATTTCACAAGAATTATGCGTATGTAAAAAATTTGAGGAATCAGAAATTTGTTTCTATAATTGTAAATAAAGTGCCATTGCTAAGGTCGGTCATAATATTAAGTTTTAATGAACCAATTTTTTTTATACTGTACCTTTTATACTTACTGCATAGCCCTATAAAAAATTTTTCCAGAAAAATGATTACGTGTATGAGTTTCTTCGAAAATAAAAACAAGAAAAATGAACATCATTTATCAGAGTTTTTCCCAGAATTTTTTTTATAGGGTAATAGTAAATTTCAAAGATTAAATATATATTATTCTTTTTTTATTTTTTTTAAAGTCTGGTTCAGACAAATATTACAAAATGGACTTCTAAAAATAACTTGAGTTAAAACATTGAATATCTAATATTTTGTTATCCAAGTTGCATTCTCAATTTCTCTGCTTTATATCATGATATACCTAAATTTATATTATTTATATTGAATGTCATAAGATGAATGTATTTAATTAGACGAAATTATAATCTCCTACCTGTAACTTTAATTCTGAAAGATTACAGCTCTTAGACTCTATGAAATTTTAAGATTTATAATATAAATATAAATATCGTTGATTTATATGAGTTTAAACAAAATTTGCTATCAATCTTATTTTAGGAACAATAATAAAACTGTTTATGCTATTAGATAAAAGTACAAAAGTGGTATAATATTCTCATTATTTTGGCTAGTATTATATATAATACAATAATTCTATTATTAGCCGTATATGGATTTATGGATTTATTATTGATATCGAATTTAATAACAAATTCTAAGGCTTACCATCACCAGGTTACCATTTTATTATGAATAAAAATAAATGCTTTGGTCTAAAAAATTCAAATAACCTAACTGAACTATGTATTACGTGTAAATTTATGATAGAATGCAATAATTTGATTTTACAAATGTATTTTATTACTTTGAATTTATATGGCAACAATCAACATTTACTAAAATTTGCTGTTACCTCCCAAATCAACAAAACTTTTGTAATAAGAACATAGAATACATTTTTTACACAAAATTATTTCTTGGATACATAAATTTATTACGATTAATGCCCAAAGGCTAAGGTTAACAAATGATAGCTAGTATAAGATATAAAAGTAATAGGTTGAATATCATATTATTATAAATGATATACCGTATTATACAATATTGAAGAAACATATTGACAAAAGAAAAGTCAAGTCAATTAAGCCTGTCTAATAAGTTCAATACACCACTAAAAAAAAAGGAATGTTTAGTTATTTTACAAGAAAATGTTTAGATTTTTTTTTTAAAAAAATCAATTTTAAAATCTACTTACCTCATCAATTCCTCCTAATCTTTCATTATGACAAACAACCTCTTGAAAAGTATCATTTCCAATAGTAAATTGAACATCATGACTACGTAAAAATTCAACTTTATTATTATCATGACTTTTCTTAATACTAAGATTAACAATATCATTTGATTTTATATATCCTTCATAATTTTCTAATTTACTGTGCTTAAAATTCCAAATATAATCATAGTAATTATTTCCATCACAACTTACTATAAAAAAAATAAGGGTTAAATTTTCTTTTATCTTCATTATTGTTTTAGATACATAATTCATTTGTTTACCTTCTGTATGATTGCTTGATGGAGATTTGTGGTAATAATAATTACTATAGTTATAGTAATAACAAATCCCAAGTAACTGGTTAGAAATTTTATGTTGCAACCTTATATCAGTTTTGGTACAAGAGTAGTTGTTATCAAGAGATTGATTTTTAATTATTTTCCATAAAACATTCGGATTAAATTCTGAATCGCTTGCATAAATCTACAAAAAATCGAATATGTATACTATTAATAAAAAATTCAAAGAAATATTAAAAGGTTAAATATTAAATAAATGATATATACTAATTGTTTCTTACTTCCAGTTGTATAACATAAATTTCCAATGGAAGTTAAATATTTTCCTGTAGCAACGTGTTTTAATGCAACGGTAGATCCATATCTAATTATATTTGATTCATTCATAACAATTTCTTCAAATTCTTTAATTAAATCATCCATTGAATTGATATTATTCACTCTTTCACCAAATTCGGTTAAAAAATAGGGATAATCATCAAGAGTCTTAGAAAAATATTTCTTTTGTTCTCCTATATCATTAGTTTCAGAATTATAACAAAGTTTACGAAATTCTGTAAAAAATCTCAAAGTATTACCACCGTCTCTTTCAGAAATATATTTTAACGATTGTAATTTTCTTTTATTTAAATCTTTAAACACCGTAAAGGTAATATCCTTTTTGAGTACATCACGAAGTTTTTCGAGGTCATAAATTTCGGCTGGAAGTTTAATAGCGCTATCTACTAATAATTTTACAACTTCCATGAATGCTAAACCAGTTTTATTTGGCCAAAGAGAGTAATATTTTTGAATGTTGTTCACCCATTCGTCTGGATGAATATTTCCATCATATATTGGAAAATAATTCATTTTTTTTTTTTAAAAAAAAAAAAAAAAAAAAAAAAAAAAAAAAAATAATTAGGGTCTAATCTCAAAATTAAAGTCATTTATGTTAATCAAACCGGTTTTTAACAAGACTTTACTAGATTTGGAGATTGTCATATTTTAATGCATCAATGCCGTAATAATGTACGTCACTCATCGTTATTAAATCTTGCGGTATAATATAATATGTTTAATAAGTGATGAATTTTGTTAATTTTTTTTTATCCTCAATAAAAATCTTTAGAGATATAAAATCGTACAGTATATATATATATCAACCAATCTTTTTCTTGTAAATTAGTATTTTATACGAGAAATATTAACTATAACAAAATAGAAGGCAAGTACTATTATGACAAATATTAACTATAACAAAATAGAAGGCAAGTACTATTATGACAATTTATAATAAGTGCGTTGTATATTTCTATATTACAATTGGTTCCGCAAAAATTAAAAAATTATTTTATTTGAAAATTACGATTCCCAATACATTCATGTAAAATAGCGTCTGTTTCTTAATAATTAATCGTATTTATTGCTAAATTAAGAATTATAAAAGTTTAATTAGATATTTATCTATTTTTGCAAGTCTTGTATCTTAATTATTAAATTCAAAATTATCGATTATATTGGTTGTGTCCAGAATGAGAAATTTTCTTATTAAATGATTTTTAGACTCTTTTTATTAGGCTTTTTTTTAATATATCATAATATTAATAAACATTAGTTATAAGAAATAATCTCTTGAAGGTAATTTTACCTAACTTTACAAATAATTAGTTCACCATTAATGTAGAATTCGATTCTTAAATAAATATCACTTTTCTTGAACGTAGTTAATTTCAAAAATAAAAATATATATTTAGAGAGGGTACATTTAAGCTCTGGAGGACGAACTACGAGTTAAGATTTATTAGAATCAGAATTCGAGTCAAAGAAAAACTTACAACTTTGGACATTATTATGTGCGTGCTATATCAAAATTCCATTAATTCGAAACTTAAATATTTTAAATAAAAGTAAAGATATATATGATGTAATGATATCTTTTCTGGCGGCACTGATAATCATGTGATTCCGGTTCTAATGCGAACGACGTCTAGTCTTTATGTATAATACCGGTAATTTCCAAGATGAAATTCGAATAATTATTTGTCTTATATAGTTACTGTCTTATCATTATTTTTAGCCTAGGTAAATTGATGCACTGATTATTACAAACTTTTACATAAATATTTTTTTAAAAAAATTCATTAGTGAGTATAATTACGAGAAATTACATACGTATATACTGTATTAATTACCGTAAGTCCGTAAGTAAAAAAAAATTGAGCGCTAGCAATTACCAATTCGCTACTATAAATGTCAAATATTTTTCTGTGAATTTATAAGACTATTATTAGAAATATTTTGTTACAAAAATTTGTTTTAGGATTCAATGTTATACAGGAAAAATGAATAATTGATTTTCTGTCGTTTTCAAATTTGCTACAAATGCAATTGACGTTTGTAACGTTGAACCGTACCAGCCAAATTTTATAATAAGTTAAATAGAACAAAGAACATAAGAAAGCAAAATGAAACATTAAAAATATAAAACATATTAAAAAACTTCACGTGTTGAACATTAATAAAAATAAATTTCTTGTGCACATAACACAAATAATTATATTTGCATTTTTTTTCCTTACCATTTGTACATTCGTAAGTAAATCTATAAATTAATTTTATTTATAATCTCATTAAGGATCATGAATGTATTTTTTACTAAAATTCATTTTATTATTTTGTTTTTAGTTTTTACTTTAGATCTACAACAAGAAACCTTTACCAATGATGATTCTCAATACACGTGCGATTATATCTTTTTATATCTTCCCAAATGATATTGTCGATAAGTTAGATATGATGAATCAATCTGTTAATAATCTGCTAAATCATAATGAAAATATGTATACTGTTTTTTAATAAAGTTTCATATCGCGTGACTGATTTTCAGTATTTTCATTCACCTTCACGTCTTTCTTTCTTTAAATATATTTCATAAATACTTCTTTATTATAGTATTTCTTTTTTTTATCCTTATTATATAGTGTTTTTATTTCCTTTTTAAAGTTTACATGTTATCTTTTGTATCTTTTATAAAAAATGAATTCAAATTTATTATATTTACAACTTCAGTTCTTTTAAAAAAAAAGTGTATACCACTAAATAATCATTAATTTTACGAAAAAGTAATTGAAGGTTTAAAATATTTCACCATAGAAATTAGTAATTTTTTTTTGTCATAATTACATAATTACTTTACACAACTTCTGATAAATCTGGTTTAATAATAATTTTTCAGGTATCGATATATTTTAAACATTTCATAGTATTTATTATACGGCTATTCAATGAATACAATGAACTCCAGGTATTGCCTTTTACAGATAAGACCATGTTCGACTTCACGTTACCATCATCATCCTATTGAAATAGCTTTATACGAAAATTATTATCATTACAAGATTATTTTTTTAATTGCGAGCACTAATTGATTCTTGTGAACTTACGTATAATTTGTCAATATTTAGTCATTTTTACATGTATTTTTTTTTTTCTTATCCATAAAATAGGTAACTTGTTACATGCATGTTACGAAAAATAAGATTTCAACTTCATTATGTATATTGCTTAAATAAAAATTATTTAATTATAATTAAACCTTTACAATAATACAACAGCTAACAATCCGCACAAATCACATGATTTTATGGAAAACGTTTATCATGTGGTTTTTCGCTACTACATTATGCAATTGCGTTAATAATATGATGCAATATTTACAAAATTCCAATAATTAATGAAAATACAATATACAGTATATAAGCAAAACATTTCATTATTAAAATAAATAAATAAAAATATATTACTCCTCAATACAGCCTCTAAACCATAGCCATAGCCATAGCCCCAAAATCACATTCATAAAATTAAATCAACATCAGGTGGCACAGCGGTTGATAATCAAGTTAATCACATGTATGAGGAAAAATTAACAACAGATAACAGGAAAGATAAAGATGAAGTAAAATTGGACGTCAAAAATATACAAAAGAGTTAAAAGTCCATGGGAATAATAGTTTTAATGTATTTGATATTAAAAGGGTAAAACTATGTTTTTATTTGTGTAGTAAACTTTATAAATTATGAAATTTAGTAAAATTTAGTAATCTTAACCCTATTCCTACAAGAAAAAGAACTTCAGTTACTAGATTGTAAACCTAATTTCTTTGATAAAGGAAGAAAGAAATTTTTTTCCTCTGTTCGACGAGAAGTGTTTGACTAATAAAAATACTTATTTTAAGCATAATTCAATTAACTATTAAGATAATAATTTTTTTTTAAACATGTAAATTAATAAAATTTTTATTTATTATAGAAGAAATGAAGAATTTACTATATTATTTATAAAGTAATTTTATTCAAAATAACTTAAAAAATTTAAATATTTCAAAAAGAATTTTCACATTAATGGTAATGAAACGTTAAATTTATATAATTGGTAGTGATATGTGTGATAAAATATTTTTTGCCCTAACCAAACAAAATTCCTTTTCGTTAAGTGAATTATAAATATATTGACTTTCTCTTTTATTTAGAAATGTGAATAACATAATAAAATGTTTGACTAATAAACACTAATGTTCAGTATCAAGTAAATTTTATCATCAGCTTTTCAAGCAGACCAAGTATGTTCTTTAATAAACTCAATACACCACTAAATGGAAAGAAAAGAATTAATATTTGTACAGTACTAACCTCTATAAAATACAATCAAATAAATTACTTACTACATCATTTCCTCCTAACCTTTCATTATGACAAACAACTTCTTGAAATGCATCGTTTCTAATAGTAAATTGAATATCATGACTACGTAAAAATTCAGTTGGTCCATCTAAAATTTTATTACCATCATAATCATACTTTTTCTCGATGCCAAGATTAATAATATCATTTGATTTTAAATATACTTGATCATTTTCTAATTTACTGTGTCTGAAGTTCCATTTGGTTTCATTTCCATCACAACTTACTAAAAAGTATAATAAATATAATTATTAATTTTTTTGTTATCTCGCTATGTAATTTAAATTTTTATTACCTTCCGTATGGTTAGTTGATGGAGATTTGTAATAAGAACGCGAATAACCCCAATTGATTCCAAGAAACAAACTGGATTTAATGTGTCGTAAAGCAAAAGTATCAAAGGAAGTGGCAAATTCTCCATTAAATTCAATATTCCATAAAGAGTTGAGATTAAAGTCTGAGCTTCCTGCGAAAACCTTTAAAATTACATTAATATCATTTTAAAAACTTTTTTTTTGAAGCTATAAAAATAATAATATACCAGTTGTTTCTTGCTTCCAGTTGTATAATGTAAATTTTTAATTGAACTTAAATATTTTCCTGTTGCAACATGTTTTAAAGCTACAACAGATCCACTTTTAATTATATTTGATTTTTCTAAAATGATATCTTCAAATTCTTTAATTAATTCGTTAAGTGAACTGACATTTTTCATTTTCACATGAAATTCATTTGAAATGTCATTAAAATTACTTATAGGAAGTGTTTTAAAAAGATATTTCTTTTGTTCTTCAATATTATTAATTTCTCCATTATAACATAATTTACGAAAAGTTGTAACAAATTTTAAAGTATCACAACCAGGAATATATTTTAATAATTGTAATTTTCTTTTGTTTGCATTCTTAAATACTGTAAAGGAACTATCTTCTTTAAGTTCATTACGTAATTTCTCAAAACTATTGATATCTGTTGAGAGTTTAATAGTAGGATCAACTAATGATATAGCGATGATTACATCTTTTGAGCTTGGATTAATATTGAAGTACGTTCGAAGATCATTTATCCATTCATCTGGATGAATATTCCCATCATATTTTTGAAGTTCCATAATTATTTATTAAATTTTTGCATCAAATTGTGGATGAATTACAAAATGTAACTTTAAAGAAAAGGAAAAAAAGTTGAAAAATTTTTTTTTCTTTGGTTTTCAAATCATTATATTTTTAGAAATTATGCTGTGTACATATTTGTGTAACTGTAATTAGGGAACCAGTGATCGTAACCAATATCAGTTAAACCAAGACTACTGTCACCCCAGCCAAATGATCGGCATAGTTTCTAAGCTAAGTGGGCGTGCACTACATCCTAGCTTATAAACTGCCCATGGGCCAGATTAGCCCACGAGATCTGATTGGTCCAAACAACTTACCAACATTTAATTACAAATAAGGCAATTTTATAACTTTTGACCGGATATTTACTTATAAAC